ATGTTCATTTCAACACAAACGTGATCAAACCAAAAAAGACTATACTTTCTAATAATCTCTTGTTGAACAAAAAGTACCTGGTGCTCATTTTTGACTGCAGTAATTCTGCTTTAGAGATTAACTATCAATGCTCTACGAAGTGACTTTACTGACCCAGTGATTACATATTATTATATAAAAGCCAGTCCAGCAAGCATTTTCTTTTTTATTATTTAAAGGAATTTAATATTTGAGGCTCGGATATTAAAAAGAGCTTTTGTATATGAAAAATCCTAATTAATTTTGCTGTTTTACATCAATGACAGTCATCCAATGACAGCTAAGGGAGTATATACTTACTCAGAAACTTTATTCCCAGAACACTGCTGGCACTCGTTGATCCTTGCACTGCTTTGACAAATAAATGAGTGCGTATGTCGCTGCAGTGGCAGTTTCTCCATCATAAGAAACCAACAAGGACCATAAAAAAGATAATTTTATTCTAAATGGAAAAGGACAATCATGATTGGGACGAAAATATTATTTTTAAGGCTCTAAAAGAGCACAATTAAAATAAATACATAGCTGAATCATTTTACAAACTGCAAGAACACTAAAACTCACTTTCTGCAGGGAGGAAGTATTACAACAGCTGAGTCATCAAAGTAAAAATCAAAAGGTTTTTAAAGGGTTAGAAAGATCCAGCACTCAAAATTACATTTGTAGTAATTGATATTACTTTGTGTTCGATAGTCAGTCTCCATGTAAATAAAGAGACAGCCAGTTTCCTGTGAGAAATGTGCACAATTTAAAATGAGAAAAGCCTTCCTGTAGCAATTAAGGTCTCTCACGTGGAAAGAGGGAAATAATGCAAAAATACAGAACTCCCTTGTTGAATGACCTAAAATAAAATTTAAAAATGGGTTCCCTGTTGAGGAGATATGCATGCAGATATGACATTTAAAACTGAAGAGACAGTTCTCATAATTAATGGCAGTCTAAGACTAGCTAAAGTGAAAAAGCAGGCATAAATGACAATGAATTGCCAACGCCTATCTACTAAATGATTTTTCTTAACTTTTAAAACAGTTAAAAAGTCAGCCCGTATGGCTGGGAGGAGCTGTGGCTCTAGGTTGAAGATGAAGATGCTTTGATCTAGGTCCCTCAGTCCTGGCTGTACTGCTAGACATCGCGGTACAATCCAGCCTGCTGCCCACCCGTAGCTGTGGCTGGCTCGTGGGATCGACGCCGGAGAAGGTCCACCCTGCGGGAATGCCTCCCGGTAGCACTCCCTGCAGAGGAGCAGGAGCTGGGGATCTCATACACCGTGTGGAGGACTTACAAAATGCCACGTCTGCTCCTTCACACTTTCTTTGCAGAGTAAATTCCATCAGCAACCATGGCAGAGAGCGCTGCAGCCAGGAGCACAGCTCTCTCGGACTTTGTGATTTCAGCCATAAAAATGTGGGCGATTCCACACAAAAATCCTGGGGGCAGATGTGGGCTTTAGCAAGTGGCAGAATGGATGATCTTTACGTGGTGTGTGCACGGAATTGTGTTGGCAATTAATTTGAAGGTCCAGTCTGCGTTAGGAGTGGAAAAGCATGTGAAAGAGTTTTAGTAGGTAGCAGCATCTCTGGTTCAGAGGAAGACATTAACTGAGATTTGCATTTCTTCAGTTCACAAAAGGACTTGGTAGATGAAATGCCTTTTTTTCCTCCTTATTTTTTCCCATATATGTCTTCATGCGCTGTCTATTAAAATGAAATACTGTCAAATCTGAAGTGATCTTGGCTTCTTTTCAGCTGTCTTCTCCACAGTTAATACTAATAATAAACCTCTGTTATTATAAATGGTCGTCAATTAACAGGGAGAGAACATTTTATAGCTTAGCGTGCCATTTATTTTATTACAGTATTTAATGTTTATGATACAAAAGTTGGATTTTCCTCAAATCTAGTGATAAAACCATCCCAGTTCATGACTTTGTAAGCGTCTGATTAATGGTGCAAGGAAAACATTTAAGAGCAGATGTTTGTGCCTTCCATGAATTTACAAATTCAGGTTTTTGCAGCCTGTCTTTTTCTATCAGTGACTTGCAGATGTCAGCAATGTCTAAATAAAGCACCCAGGGCCGGGATGACACAGTGAGAGAGCAGCTAAGAGGAACTGGTAGAACCCCGTGAGAGAGGCTGTGCAGTCGCCCTTGATTACAAATCCAGTTGCATCCATCCATCAGTAACGACATGACACCAGATGTCCCACACATCAGCACAGCAAATAAAAGCAAGCTAGCTTGCAGATCTCACCAGATTTAGACCCCCCAAACAGCGTGTAACAGGAAGGCTGTTATTCATTAGAGCTGGGAGTGAAAGCAGGTAACAGTCTTCAGCATCTCAGCTCTGCGACTGGCCTTTTTCCTGCTGGTCTCCGAGACTCATTTCAAAATCCACGATCTGCAGATGTTGAAAATAGGCACTGCACTCTTAACTGAGTCGTCTACGTACGGGACTGTCCATCGCACACTGGTTCACTTGGCAAAGCTACAGATCACAGCGTTTGGGAAAGGTATTCTGTTGTTTTCCTTGCCCCATTATTGCAGCTAGCAGGAATACGTACATATGTATCCTTTCTCCACTTTTTTAAACTTTAATTTTAAGCACAGTTGACAGGATCTTGGCTAATGCCTTTGTCTTCAGCAGCAGGGAATAGCTGGGGTTGACTTCATTGTTGAAGCAAACACACAACAAATCAACACCCTGAGTCTACGGTAAAAAAAGTGGCATAAATGTAAGTACGTCCACTTATTCCACAGTCATATCTGGCACTCAGTTAATGAGTCTGGACACTGGACATGTGGAAATAACCTTGAAATGCAGTATATATGCAGCCGAAACATGATTTATTGACAGTATACCACCATGTGGCAAGTCCTTTGCTAGGGCTTCCATTTTCAATATTAAATGTGCGCACATAAACATACTAAACTGTCAGTAAACTGATGCAAAGGGGATTCAGAGGAGATGTCATATGGGTTATGAAAGTCAAAAACCTCATACAAAACAGATGCATGTACTGCTTTTTTCTGAATTCAGCTATTTCCAATGCAGCAGCACAAAAAAAGACAATTATTCTACTTGAGAGATTTTATCTTCTGTTTAGTCATCAAAGATCCTTCTTTACTGGAAAAACAATGGTGTCCTTCAGCTTCTTTTTCTTAACCAGAACTGCATTAAGAAAAGATTAATATGCTGCTAAGTGGAGTCAATGAATGTCTGAGTAACAGCTGATTTTACTATGCATGTGAGGAGCTTTCATTTAAATACCCTCATCCCTCATTCCAGCAGTGGCTGTTTAGTGGTGGTATGTATCACAATAGGTGATCTAAATACGACTCCATGCTGCAAAGCAAATAGGACAGATGAGTTGGAACCAAAACTCCTTAAAAGAAATAGATGGTGTGCCAAAAAAGAGGAAAACCCCGGATCTTATCCAGATGCGTAAAACCTCCATCAGAGATACTTCTGTTTTCTTTGTGAGTCATCTGAAATGACTCCTACTGAACAGATAACGAAAGTCCAATTACATGCAGAGATTGAATACTGCTTGTGTATGCGTATTTGATGTTGTCTCTTTAAATGTCATCTGCCAAGGGGCTGCTGAAAGGTGGTTATCTTGGCGACGCTCTGGGAACTGGGAAATGTTCCTCATTGCTGCAGAAAGCTGAAAGCAGGAACAAAATCTCTGTCTTTTCCATGGTTAGGGTTAGGAGAGGAAGAATTTCAAAGGAAGGAAAACACCCTAGAATATCAATTGACTGTGTAATTAAAACTGCAGGGAAAAGAACGTCTGTTTTCTAACCCATCTGACTTTTGGAAACTATTTCTTCTTTTTCTCAGTTTTTGCATGGGAAGAGAATGAATTACTCCTGATCTCCCTTGCATTACCATTTCTTAAGAGAGTTAAGATTAGAAAGTGACTGGACAAGTAAGCAACATTCAGAAGAAGTATGTCAGTACTTTAGTGATAAAATATGCATAACTCCTCCAAATAAGCAAACGTAACACAGAGCTACAGTGCACTGGGCCATTAACTTGGAAATCTGTGCAGTGAACAGTCAGAATTCATGCAAGAGCAGCTCTAAGTGTCACAAATTATTAGTCAGTTTTGGAGAGAGCATGAAGTACAAGGTACCATCTGATTTCTTGCAGTGAAAGAGGTATAGAGTATAGCTGCAGCTTAAAGAGCTGGCAAAGCCACAGAGGGCACATTTTAACATCTATTTGCAAACACTAGTGCCATAAAATCTATTCCTCTGTGAAAATGGGAAGGATTTCCTCTGATATTATGTACTCCTCTTCCTTCTGCACTGCAAAGGTCATTGGCATGGCAACAAAATCTTCATTTCTCAAGAGTCCATCTGCTGCCGGTATACACGCCTCATCTGAACTCACATCATTCTTTTTTGATGACATCCTACTTGGCTGTTGACGGTCTGTCGTCACAAGCACACAATCACAATTTCAGGTGAAGAATAAGCAGCAGCAGCAGCAGCAGATGGGCTTCTGAGCAATGAACAACTATTCTCTGAAACCAAGAGGAAAGAAACACAGGAGAGAAATCCTGCAAGAAAATGACTTTTTTTTTAGTAAATCTTACATTCACGATTTCTCTAAGACATCAGCAGCTGATGAGAATAATTTCTTTTCTGTAATCTGAACTTTGTAACAATTCACACACTGAAACATCCTGTACTCTAAGTTTCATGTTTATATTTTTGACTGGAACAACCTCTTAAATATTGATTACAATTCAGCAGTTGTACACAACTCCTATTCAAAATATTGGTAAATACTATCATGCCATCAACTATGTAAGTTTCTTCAATATTTTTCTAGCAACAAATATTAATCATCTGGTTTAATCAGGAACTCATCATGAATCCACTTTCACAGTATACTGGAGGCTGCAGGCAAATAATCATTAATTTATTTGTGGGACACTAGAATATGTATCATTCCAGAATGAAAAATGACCAGAACCTGTTCTCTGTAACATGTGCAGCCACAATAATTATCAGCTTTGAAGGCAACCTACATGCAGTGCTGGATCTCAGTTATAGATAACAAAGTGTCAGCTCTACGGGAGGAAAAGGATCAAGCAAATTTCAGGGAAGTCTCAGGTTTGTTGACGTCACACTGTCAGAAATACCATCTGTCTGTGCCCCTCGGCTTGCCTGGAGCTGTCATCTCATGCGGGTGTCACACGACTACATCGTACTGTTCATTGTGCTGTCCTGCAGGACGTCTAAAATGATGGTTTGTGTTGAGACGCTGTAGTACGGTGTTGGATCACTGCCTCGTCATGAACCTTGGCAAGACTACAGCATCAGACCCGGTAGTAAAAGGTAACGGCAGAGACTGCCAGACTTGGACAGCTTGAGCATGGAAACAGGAAAGGAGCATTTCACCACTCCTGAATAGTCTGCTTATTGGGTACTGCACTTTTAAAGTGTAACCTGCAGAGATGAGGGGACTTTAAGCCAAGCGGGGGCTGGAAGAGGTTTAATGCCAGAATAGGATGCCCATCTTGGTTCAGGAAACCTCTGTTTTGATTTTGTTTGGATCTGGTCTGAGAGGGGGAGATCTGGTCTCCTTTAGTCACACTCATGTGATTTTTAAATACTTTTTAAACAGAGGAAGGATTTTAAACAATCCTTCTTAATCCTAGGAGTGACAGAGTCCAGGCTGCCAGAAAGGAGCACTAGGTATCATGAAGATACCTTCGTGAGCTGCAGTATCACCTAGTGACCAAGCTGTTCACCATTTTTGAGACCAGAGCAGCACTAAGAGAGGGCTGCGAACAACCCTTAGCATCCTAACGTCCTGCTCACCTTCAGCAGCTCTCTCTCCACCTCATCACTGACCAGGTCCGGGGCTTGCCTCCTCTCCCGACACTGCAGGTTATCGGTGGCAATAGCATAGGGCACCTCGGTGGCATCGAGCGCCCTTTCCAG